TGTGGAAGGAGGAATGGCTCCTAATGCACTGGGGACAGAGCCAAAACTGAGATGATCCCCTCAGTACAAACCCAAGCGGTTTCACGCTGCTCCTCCTCCACTCCCAGCCCCCTAGGCTACACAAAGCATCTGCTGCCAGGGCAGCAAACAGAAGCCAAAGGGATAGGAACTAAAGGCAGAGTGAAGAGCTTTGGAGGGATTGGTGGGTGTGAGGAACGGAAGGGTCACGTCTGTGTGTGTGTTTCCCTTCTCCCCACAGGCCAGCTCCACTACCAAGCAGCCTCCCCAGACGAAGGAGCCCTGGTTGCAGCAGCCAGGAACTTTGGCTACGTGTTCCTGTCCCGCACGCAGAACACCATCACCCTGAGCGAGATGGGCATGGAGAGGACCTACGATGTCCTCGCCATCCTGGACTTCAACAGCGACAGGAAGAGGATGTCTGTCATTGGTGAGCTGCTTGCGAGCAGCCCTGTGCCTCACAGGGGGCAAAGCACACGCAGGAGAAGGGGGAATGCATTTGGCCACCCAGTGCTTCACTGAGCAGTTGAAGCTTTGGGACTAGACTGAAGGGTCCCCCCTGAACCTCTGCCTTTATGTAGATGTACTCTTACCACTGCTGCCCCTCTCTTGTTTTACCCCACAGTAAGGGAATCAGGTGGGAACATCCGGTTATACTGTAAAGGGGCTGACACAGTCATCTATGAACGCCTGCACCCGAGGAACCCCAAGAGGGAAGCCACGGAGGAAGCCCTGGATGTACGTGTGTGCTTTACCCACCCCTTGGTGCTTTAGTGCCCACTATAACCTCACTGCTAAGCTCTTAGATCAGGTGTAACTGTGTCTTTGCCACCACCTGGCAGGTATTTGCCAGTGAGACCCTGAGGACCCTCTGCCTGTGCTACAGAGACATCGAGCCCAAGGAGTTTGAGGCCTGGAATCGGAGGTTCCTGGAGGCCAGCGTGGCCACCACGAACCGTGATGAGGCTCTGGATAAAGTCTATGAGGAAATAGAGCAGAACCTGGTTGTAAGTCAAGTGTGAACCTTTGAATGTGCTTCTAGAGAACCAGACCTCTCTGAACGGCAGTCACCAGGGATGAGGCTTCAGAACCACACCAAACGCTTCTGTTTCTGGTGTATCCCCAGCTGCTCGGAGCAACAGCAATAGAAGACAAGCTCCAGGATGGAGTTCCAGAGACTATTGCCAGGCTTTCCAAAGCAGACATCAAAATCTGGGTGCTCACTGGGGACAAAAAAGGTGGCGTTTCACCCTGAAAGCGCGATAAGTTGGGGTAACCCAAGAGGGAGCCCAGAGATGCTCTCTGGAGCCAGGCTGAGGGAGCTGGGCTGGCTCCTCCTGACTCCTTGCCTCCGACTGCTTTCCATTGTAGAAACAGCTGAAAACATTGGATTTTCCTGTGAGCTCCTAACGGATGAAACCACCATCTGCTATGGGGAAGACACCAGGCAAGTGGGGAGCCCAGGGTAAACCATTCCCTGGATAACATGGTCCCTACGGCTTGTCCCCCAGGGCCTCCAGGCCTGGGTTGAGCTGAGCAGGCCTCTCCCCAGTGCCCAGTTTGAGAAGCAGCCAAGAGCTGCTCTCACTGTGTGTCCCTGGACCTCAGTGTTACCCCATGCTCCTGCACGCAGTACAGACCTATGCTCGACGCCCAGAAATTCAGTTAATCCCAAGGGAAAGCAACATAGGATTGGGAGAAAGGGAGCTTTGTAACAGTGTCACAGCTATTCCTGACCCATTTGCCCACAGTTTTCCTTATTGGCAAACCTCTTGTAGCACTGCTTAGACCATCACCCAACACATGGCAACAAAAGTCCTTGCAGCATCTATTTCTTGTCGGTTTTGAGGCCGGGCCTGATCCAGCTTCAGGTTTATCCCTGTTTCCCCAGTGCTCTTCTTCAGACAAGGCTGGAAAACCAGAGGAACACAGCTGGATCCAGTGCCCATTCCTCGCTGGGAATGAATGAGCCCTTCTTCCAAGGCAGCAGGGATCGTGCTTTAATAATCACTGGCTCCTGGTTGGTACGTACCGGAGATGCTCTCCTGGCCTGCTTAGGGCATGGACCCGAAGCTCTTCCCCAGCCCGGTTGATGCCAGGGCTCCCTGCTTCCCTTTGCTGCCACAGAATGAAATCCTGCTGGAGAAGAAGAAGAAGAAGAAGAAGCTGAAGCTCAAGCTGCCCCGATCAGCAGAAGAGGAGAAGCAGCAGAAGGAGAAGAGGGAAAGGGCCGAGGCCTCCAAGGAGCAGCAGCAGCAGAACTTTGTGGAGCTGGCGTGCGAGTGCAAGGCTGTGATCTGCTGCCGGGTGACCCCGAAGCAGAAGGCCATGGTGGTGGAGCTGGTGAAGAAGTACAAGAAAGCCATCACCCTGGCTATTGGGGATGGTGCCAATGACGTCAACATGATCAAAAGTAAGGCACCTGCAGAAGAGCTCCTCTGCAGCCTCTTGGCTGTCGCTCTTTGAGAAGACTCCTCCATCTGTTTCACTTCAGCCCTTGGGCTCTGCTTGCTTCCATCTGTGCTTTCCCTCCTTGAGGAAGCCCTACTGGGGCTTCCTGATGGATTCTGTGGACGTTCCCCCCATGAAGGGACCTCTGTGGGTTACAAACAGGGAGCGTAAAGACCCAACCCTAAGGGGAAACCCGGTTCTGGGCTCTGGTTTCCACTGTGGAGCGCCCAGCAGTGGTGGGAGGTCTGCTCACGCCGCGGTGTGTGTTTCCTTCACGTAGCTGCTCACATTGGAGTCGGGATCAGCGGGCAGGAAGGGATGCAAGCTGTCATGTCCAGTGACTACTCCTTCGGGCAGTTCCGCTACCTCCAGAGGCTGCTGCTGGTCCACGGGCGCTGGTCCTACATCAGGATGTGCAAGTTCTTGAGATACTTCTTCTACAAGAACTTTGCTTTCACGCTGGTGCACATCTGGTACTCCTTCTTCAACGGCTTCTCCGCCCAGGTAAGAAGGGTGCTGGGTGTAACGGCAAGAGGGAGCGTGGCACTGCAGAGCTTTCACCTGGGGAGCGATGGGACTCTGAGGGAAGGAGCAGGGCACCCTCACCTCGAGCTAAGGGGTTGAGCAGGCACGGAGCAGGGCACGTAAAGCCCGTGGGAGCTCTCAGGAGCTTCCTCCTCCCTCCTCTCTCGCAGACAGCCTATGAAGACTGGTTCATCACGCTCTACAACGTCTTGTACTCCAGCCTCCCCGTGCTCCTCGTCGGACTGCTCGACCAGGTATTGGCCATGGGCTTGGAACTGCGCGGGCTCCAAGGGCCCTTCCATCCCATCCCATCCCATCCCATCCCATCTCACGAAGCTTACCCCAAGGAGCTGCTACAGGTGGCCTCTTTCTCTTCCTAAGGACGTGAGCGACAAGCTGAGCCTCCGCTTCCCCAGGCTCTACGTGGTGGGCCAGAAGGATTTACTCTTCAACTACAAGAAGTTCTTCCTGAGTTTGCTTCACGGAGCTGTCACCTCCTTGGTCATCTTCTTCATCCCCTATGGAGCCTACCTAAAAACCATGGGGCAGGACGGGGAAGCGCCCTCGGATTATCAGTCCTTTGCTGTCACAGCAGCCTCCTCTCTGATATTTGTGGTCAACTTCCAGGCAAGCCAGCTCAGTTTCCTCAGCTCTGGGCCTGCTTTTGGCTCCTCAAGCCACGGCAACGAGCAAAAAGCTGCTCTTTTGAGGCCTTCTCCTCCCTATTGATGCTCCCTTTGCATGGGGTTGAGAGGAGTTGGCTCACTTGGAGCTCTGCTTGGCCTCCAGATTTGCTTGGATACGTCCTACTGGACCTTTGTGAACGCCTTCTCCGTGTTTGGGAGCATTGCACTTTACTTTGGCATCACCTTTGACTTCCACAGCGCTGGGATCCACGTTCTCTTCCCTTCTGGCTTTCAGTTCACCGGTGAGTCCTTGTGCTTTGTGGTTCGTGGTCCTGAACTGTGGCCAAAGCGATGCTTTGTTTGGGAGTATTCAATCAAAATGTGCTGGAATTGGGCATTATCCAGCAGTTGGAGTCCACAAATAGGACCCAAAAGGGCTTGGGCATGGATTTCTTGTAGGAAAAGTGCTTTACAAACGCGTTCCTATTATACTCCCCTCACAGCAGAGCCCGAAGCAAAGCCTGATGTTGTGCTACACGGCGCAATACCCCCATATTACACCCCCAGAAAACAAGCTGTGCCTTTCAGTACCTTTATATATGCATTCCACCCACTTGAATGAGCACATCATACACTCAGTTTTGCCTTGTTTATGCCCAGGCACTGCCCCCAACGCCCTGAGGCAGCCGTACCTGTGGCTCACCATGATCTTATCCATCGCTATCTGCTTACTGCCCATAGTGGCCCAGCGCTTCTTAGCCACGACAGTGTGGCCTTCGGAAAGCGACAGGGTGAGTGAAGCGGGACGCTTGGGTCGGTTCACGGGGCACGGGTTTACCCACACGAGTTGGAATGGGGGGGGGTACGGATGGAGGTAGATTGGGGCCCTTTAAAGCCCACCCGCTTCCACATCCCCGAGCTGCTCCCACCCGGCTTCCCCCTCCCCACACCCCCCTCACAGGGACGCGCTCCCCCCTATCCCATCTCCACCCGAACCCCTCCGTGCTGCTCCCCACCTGCCTCGGGCTCCATCGGGCTCGTCCCTGTGTGCTCCCCGCAGCTCCGCAGGCACCGCAGGCAGCTGGCGGCCGACGAGCAGCGCTGGAAGCGGCGGCCCAGCGCCCTCCGCAGGGGGGTATCGGCCCGGCGCTCCGCTTACGCCTTCTCGCACCAGCGCGGCTACGCGGAGCTCATCGCCTCCGGGCGCAGCCTCCGCAAGAAGCGGGCTCCTCTGGCAGCCGCGCTGGGCCCCGGCGCCCCGGGGGGTGAGGCCTGCCCGCGGTGATACCGGACAGCCCGGTGCAAGGCCGCCGGGTCGGGCCTACTGCTCCCGGTGGAGCTGGCGTGGCTGCGGCCTGGCCCGGCCGGGGCTGGCTGGGGATGCGGTGCCGGCCTCCAGGCCCCAGCGCAGCGGGCGGCCCCCACAGCCGCTGCCCGGCTTTCCTTCGGGATACACGGATCCAAGCGGGATCAACGGGGCTTCCTCCCTGCCCATCTCCGGACCCCGGAGCGCGGCAATGTCTATCGCGACTCTGTCCCGACTCCCGCGCTGAGGAGGGAGGGGGCCGAGCGCCGGTATCGCGACATCCGGCTCGCCGGCAGTGGCGTGTACATTTCAGAGTTCACCCAATAAAGGTCCTAAAGCTCCTTCACAGGACGGAGGACGTGGAAGGGCCGGGAACGGCGGCACCGGAGCTGCCCTCAACCGGCACCGGGGCGCCCGGGCCGCGGTTACCTCAGGGGCTGAGCGAGGGGCGGGGCTTCCCCTCAGGGGAGCGGGCAAGGGGCGTGGCCTCCGAGAACGGGCGGGTTTTCCCTGGTCACGTGACGCCGCTTCCTCTCCCGCATTGGGTCTCTCTCCCCGCCTCCCGCCGGTGTCCCGGTGGGCGGAAGCGCGGTGACGCACTACCGGCGGGGCTCGGGGCCGACATGGCGGACGAGGTGCTGGGTAGGACCGGAGCGCTGGTGCTCGGTGAGGCCCGGCGGCGGGCGGACGGTGGGCGGTGGGCGGGAGGGAGAGCGAGCGCCCGCCGTGCTCTGAGGGCTTTCGGAGCCGTTCGGTCCCTCCCGGAGATGATCGGAGCCGCTCGGTGCTCTTCGGAGCGCCTCGGGAACCTTCGGCTCGGCAGCGCGCTCCTCGGGCCGGGGGGAAGATGGCGGCGGGCGCCGCGGCGGTTGCGGCCGAGGGAGCTCTGTGGTAGCGGGGCTGCGGCCTTAGGGCGGGAGGGAGCGGGGGTGAGCGGAGGAGGCCTCCAGGCCCGTGTGGGCCCGGTTCCTCTCCTGCTAACGGGGCCGGGCCCCGTTCCAGAGGAGCTTTACGTGTCCGACCGCGAAGGCAACGATTGCAGCGGGGACGGGACCCAGAAGAAGCCGTTCAAGACGGTTCTGAAGGTGAGGCCGGGCAGGGGTAGGCCTCATGGCATAGTGGGGCTGTGGGGCTGGGATGCGCTGCTTAGGAACGGCTCCGGGTGCTCACCCTGCTGTGCTGCCCCTCGCAGGCGCTGCTGACCGCGGGCAAGGAGCCGTTCCCCACCATCTACGTGGACTCGCAGAAGGAGAACGAGGTGCTGCGGGCTTCCAGGGGGGAATTCCGGCAGCGCCCCCCCGTGCAGGGCCGTGACCCCATTGCTTCCCTTCCCGCAGCGATGGGCCATCATCTCCAAGTCGCAGATGAAGAACGGCAAGAAGCTGTGGCACCGGGAGCAGATGAGGAGCGAAGCCAAGGAGAGGAAGGAGGTGGGGGCCAGGATGGGAAGCGCATCCCGCTCTTCCCCATCCCGGTTACACGGGGGGGTGGCATTCCCGGCCCCATAAGGCTTCATGTGGGGCCTGTTTCCCATTCATACTCAGGGCTTGGCTGTGCTTAGGTGAGGAATGAAGCCGTGCCCCCATTCCCAGTGTGAGCGTGAATTAGGGCACCCATGGACATGGTAACCCACAGTGCACCCCAATCCTATGGAATGCATCACGTTCCCTTGTCCTGCAGGCAGAGGATCTCTTGAGGAGGGAGAAGAACCTGGAGGAGGCCAAGAAGGTTGTGATCAAGAACGACCCCAGGCTCCCGGAGCCAAAATGTGTGAGTGTGGGGCAGGGGTGCTGTGGGGCAGGGTGGGATCCAGCCTGGGGGGGGATGTGCACATTCTCCATGTAATCCCATGGGAAACACTGTCCCCTTGCCTTCATTCCCCGTGTCCCAGGTGAAGATCTCTGCCCTGGAGGCTCACAGGGGCCAGCGGGTGAAGGTGTTTGGCTGGATTCACCGCCTGAGGAGGCAGGGTGAGCGTGGGCATTGAGGTGTGAGCCCCTCCTGTGAGCCCAGGGGGGAATGAGCACGCTCCAGGCTCCTCTCCCTGTCCCCCCCATAGGGAAGAACCTGATGTTCGTTGTGCTGAGGGACGGCACTGGTTTCCTGCAGTGCGTGCTGGCGGATGAGCTGGTGAGTTGGGAGCGGTGCCTTCACCCTGCCATTAGGGGATTGCTCATCCTCATCCTGTTCCCTGTCAATGGGAGCACCAAACCCTCTGTTTTACCCTGTGGCATTGACCAAAACCCCTGTTTGGGAAGGGGAGGCGCAAGTGATGAGCACTGCTTAAAGCAGGGGGGGGCTCCCATCACCCCAACCCCAACCTGTGCTTTCCCCCCTCAGTGCCAGTGTTACAACGGGCTGGTTCTCTCCACGGAGAGCAGCGTTGCAGTGTATGGAACGCTGACCCTCGTTCCCAAAGGGAAGCAGGTATGGGGTGGCTCTCCTATGGGGCCGTGCACGCAGGGAAAGGAGCATGGGGAGTGGGTCTGCCTTCTCCTATGTGGGAGGGCTCTTCACCCAATGGGGCTGCTAGTGTCTGGGTGGGTTCCTGCCCTCCCCAAGGATGGGTCTGGTGTTTATCATCTTCCCCATGGAGCAGCTGAAGGGGGTCAGCAGTTCCCTCCTCATGGTGGGGTTCACACTGGGCTGAACCCAAGCTCCCCACCACGATGCCATGCCCAAGCAGGAGGCATCTGATGCGTTCCCCCTTGCCCTTGGCAGGCTCCGGGTGGCCACGAGCTCAACTGTGACTACTGGGAGCTCATAGGGCTGGCCCCAGCGGGAGGAGCCGACAACGTCCTCAACGAGGACTCGGAGGTGGACGTGCAGCTCAACAACAGGCACATGATGATCCGAGGGGAGAACATGGCCAAGATCCTCAAGGTGCGCTCCACGGTGGTGCAGGCCTTCAGGGACCACTTCTTTGCCCATGGCTACTACGAGGTGAGTGCCCATGGCTCTGTTCTCGCTGGGAGAACCACGTGGGTTCCCTTATGGATCTCATTCCCTCGTGGTCATTGCCCTTCCTTCCCCACTGGGGTCACCCCATCGCCTTCCCCACCAGGTCACGCCACCAACGCTGGTGCAGACCCAGGTGGAGGGGGGCTCCACTCTCTTCAAGCTGGATTACTTTGGGGAAGAGGCCTTCCTGACCCAGTCCTCCCAGCTCTACCTGGAGACCTGCATCCCGGCCCTGGGGGACGTGTTCTGCATCGCCCAGTCCTACAGAGCCGAGCAGTCCCGCACCCGCAGGCACTTGGCAGAGTGAGCAGGGAGCAGTGGATGTGTCCAGCAGTGCTCAGGAGGCATTGACTGAAGCACAGGGGCTCTTGGGTGGCTCTCTGATGGGGGCTGTGTTCCAGGTACACCCACATCGAAGCCGAGTGCCCCTTCATAAGCTTCGAGGAGCTCTTGGAGCGACTGGAGGACCTGGTGTGTGACGTGGTGGACAGGGTCCTGAGGTCCCCTGCAGCTGCTTTGCTCTATGACCTGAACCCGGTGCGTGGGAGCGATGGCAGGGACAGCGGGGTGATGGGAATGGTGGGGAGAGCAGGGAGCGCTGCTTGCTCACTGTTAAGGGGTATCAGTATTAAATCCCATCCCAGACTGGTTTGGGTTGGGAGGGAGCTGAAACCCACATGGGATAGAACCAACCCACCCAGTCCTCCAGGAGCACACTGGGATTTACCAAGCCTCCATCCCAGAGCTGATGCTGGGGATGGGCTGGAGCAGGGCGCAGGCACCGGTTTGCTTCTTCCCCCAAAAGGGGGAGCTCTGAGTGCTTCCATCGGGTACAGAGCCTCTGTCCTCGCTGTGTTCCTACTGCCCTCTATGGATGTGAGAGCATTTGTGGGCGGAGAGCGCTGCCTGAGCCGTGTTCTCCCCCCATTCCCACTGCTTTCCTCAGGGATTCCAGCCCCCGAAGCGTCCCTTCCGACGGATGACCTACAGCCAAGCCATCGAGTGGCTCAAGGAGCACGACGTCAAGAAGGAGGACGGCACTCACTATGAGTTTGGAGAGGTGAGGCCCCTCACCCCTTCATCCCCACCACGTTCCCGTTGCTCCTGGCTCCTTTCCCATCTCCATCATCCCCTAACCCCATCCCAGGACATTCCCGAGGCTCCGGAGAGGCTGATGACGGACACCATCGCGGAGCCCATCCTGCTGTGCCGCTTCCCTGCCGAGATCAAGGCCTTCTACATGCAGCGCTGCCGCGACGACCCCCGCCTCACCGAGTCCGTAAGTTGGGATCCCCAAACCGGGATGCGGGATCCTATGGGATTGTCCCGACCGATCCCATGGGATGGATTGTCCCTTCGGTGTGGGTGACCCGGGGTGCTGCCCGCTGCAGGTGGATGTGCTGATGCCGAACGTCGGGGAGATCATCGGGGGCTCCATGCGCATCTGGGACAGCGAGGAGCTGCTGGGGGGGTACAAGAGGGAGGGCATCGACCCCGGCCCGTACTACTGGTACACGGATCAGGTGAGCGGCACCAGCTCCTCACTGCCCTCACTGCGGGGATGCTGAGGGCGCCAACGGGATCCCAATGTCCCCCCCTTGCTTCCCACGGCGCAGAGGAAGTACGGGACCTGCCCCCACGGCGGCTACGGCCTGGGCCTGGAGCGCTTCCTCACCTGGATCCTCAACCGGCACCACATCAGGGATGTGTGTCTGTACCCCCGCTTCGTCCAGCGCTGCAAACCCTAGGGCTGCCCCCGCAGCTCCATGGTGCTGAGAAGGAGCCATTGGGAGAACGGGAGCCCCAAGGAAAATCAACCCCGGCTTGCAAGTGGGAAGGAAGCGGGGCCGCTCCATTGGCATGGGGCTGCCTGGATTCCCCCATAGCCATGGCTGGGAATGGGAGGAAGGAGTGCCAAAGCAGGGATACTGCTGCTGAGCAGCGCTCGTCGTTCCCATGGAATTCCACTGCAAGAGGGCTGCATTTTCCTTGTGTTCCCCTGGTTATTTATTGGTGAGGAGGAATGAGGCTGCTGCTTCTCCCTTTTCCCCGGGGGTGAAGGACCCATACCGGATCCTCATGGATACAGGAGCAGCGTGCTGCCTCCCAGTCCCAGTTGCCCCGTCTCCCAAAGGAACCGGGACCTCAGCAGTACAACTGGATCTGGGCTCCTGAGTGTGAAGCCTGGCTTCATTGTCCAGCAATTCCGCCTCTCCCAGCTGCATCCCAATGGATTCTGTGGCTCGAGCCAAGTTATGGAATAGGATTAAGTGCGTATTCGAGGTGTTGGGTGAGGATCCAGGGGCCGCTTTCCTCCCTCCTGCATGTCCCCATGAGCCCCAATAAAGGATGCTCCAGCACCACTGCGCTCCCTGCCTCTCCTTGCTGAGCTCGGAGCACCCTTGCAGCATCCACAGTGGGGATGGACCCCATCCATGAATCCGGGGAGCCCAGCTCCATCCATAGGGACACCCCACCGCCCCCATGGGAACGGCTCCTTCCCTCTATCCCATCTCCATCCCTTCTGCTGCTTCAAACCCATTCCCAGTGCCCCAGCGCTTATCCCAAGCCTCTCGGAGCCCCTTTAGGACCCGGGGGTCGATGCCTCCGCTCCGCCCCCTGCGGAGGCCCCGCCCCTCCCTGGGCAGGCCCCGCCCCTTCCTCTAGGCCCCGCCCCTCGCCCAGAACCGGCGGGAGCGTCTGAGGGAATGCGGGCGGCCAAGATGGCGGCGGGCGCGGTGCGGGCCGCGCGTCCCGGTGAGCGCAGTGCGGGCGGGCCCGGAGCGGGGCCTCAGGCCCGGGGGGAGGGCTCCGGGCTCCGGGAGGCGGCGGCGGCAGCGCCGGGCCCGCGTTACACAACGGAGCGGGGGGGGGGGGTCAGGTTGGCCTCCGGTTGCCCCCGGAGGTGCCCGTTACCGGCCCGCGGGTGCCCCTCGCCCCTAGGCCGGGCCCAGCCGGCGGCAGAGGCCTGACCCTAGGCCCCTCCGTGCTGCGGGGGAACGCGTCCCGTTTGGGGCTGGCGGCGTGCGTTGGGATCCCGTTGTAACGGGGGGAAACGGCGCTGGAGGCGGCGCGGGGTCCGGCCGGAGCTGCAGCGGGGCCGGGGAAGGGGGTTACGGGGTGTGAATGGGCAAGGGTGGCTTGGAGCTTCGGCCTGGGGGGAGCTTCGGCTTGGGGGGAGCTTCGGCCTGGGGGGGGCTTCGGCTTGGGGGGGGCTTCGGCTTGGGGGGTCCTCAACCCCAGCCAGGCTGATCCTGCGGTGGGGGTGCCGTAGGGATACTATAGGGATGCTGTAGGGATACTATAGGAATGTGGTAGGGATGCTATAGGGATACCATAAGGGTGCTGTAGGGATTCTATAGGGATGCTATAGGAATGTGGTAGGGATGCTCTAGGGATACTATAAAGATGCCATAGGGATGCTGTGGAGATGCTCTAGGGATGCTGTAGGGATGTTGTAGAGGTGCTATAAGGATGCTATAATGATGCTGTAGAGATGCTTATGTTTTAGGGATGCTATAGGGATGCTGTAGGGATGCTATAGGGATGCTGTAGGGATGCTATAGGGATGCTGTAGGGATGCTGTAGGGATGCTTTCCCTGCCTGCACCCCCAGGTGTACTCCGAGGAGTTCCCTTCCTTGCCGTGCTCTGGGAGCCCTCCCTGGTGCCCTTTGGGGTGCAGAGGGATGCAGGAGGCCCCCGCTCCTTCCCTGCCTTGGCTGCTGGGTGCTCACGGGGGGCTGTTCCCTGTTCCCTGTCCCGCAGTGCTGCAGGGCAGCAGCCACCTGCAGCTCCCAGTGCGATGGAGGGCCCCGACCAGTGCCCTGACAGCCAGCACCCAGCCCCGCACGCACCCGCAGGCCCGGTGAGTGGGGCAATGGGGGGCAATGGGACAAACGGGGGGGTGTTACAGCCCCATGGGCTGGTTTGGCTTGGGAAGGGCCCTAACCCTCATCCCGGTCGCATCAGTGGGATGAGCTAAGGAGGAAACTGCTCGGGCAGGAGGCTAAGCTGGGCTGGCACTGCCTCTTGCTCCCATAGCAAGCCTAAGACAGGCATCCTGATGCTGAACATGGGCGGCCCGGAGCGCCTGGAGGATGTCCATGATTTCCTGCTTCGCCTCTTCCTCGACACGGACCTCATGAAGCTGCCAGCACAGAGGTGAGGGATGGGGGGGTACCCATCAGGGATGGGGGGTACCCATCAGGGATGCAGGGGTACTCATCAGGGATGCAGGGGTACCCATCAGGGATGGGGGGGTACCCATCAGGGATGGGGGGTACCCATCAGGGATGCGGGGGTACCCATCAGGGATGCGGGGGTACCCATCAGGGATGGGGGGTACCCATCAGGGATGGGGGGTACCCATCAGGGATGCGGGGGTACCCATCAGGGATGCGGGGGTACCCATCAGGGATGCAGGGGTACCCATCAGGGATGCGGGTGGTACCCATCAGGGATGCGGGGGTACCCATCAGGGATGGGGGGGTACCCATCAGGGATGCAGGGGTACCCATCAGGGATGCGGGTGGTACCCATCAGGGATGCGGGGGTACCCATCAGGGATGGGGGGGTACCCATCAGGGATGCGGGGGTACCCATCAGGGATGCGGGGGTACCCATCAGGGATGGGGGGGTACCCATCAGGGATGGGGGGGTACCCATCAGGGATGGGGGGGTACCCATCAGGGATGCGGGGGTACCCATCAGGGATGCGGGGGTACCCATCAGGGATGCGGGGGTACTCATCAGGGATGCGGGGGTACCCATCAGGGATGGGGGTGGTACCCATCAGGGATGCGGGGGTACCCATCAGGGATGCGGGGGTACCCATCAGGGATGCGGGTGGTACCCATCAGGGATGCGGTGGTACCCATCAGGGATGGGGGGGTACCCATCAGGGATGGGGGGGTACCCATCAGGGGTGCGGGGGTACCCATCAGGGATGCGGGGGTACCCATCAGGGATGTGGGGTACCCATCATGGATGCAGGGGTACCCATCAGGGATGCGGGGGTACCCATCATGGATGGGGGGTACCCCGGTGCTGATCCCGCTCCGTACCCCTGTGCACGCTGCAGTCGGTTGGCCCCCATCATCGCCAGGCGCCGCGCCCCCCGCATCCAGGAGCAGTACAGCAGGATCGGAGGAGGCTCCCCCATCAGGAAGTGGACGGCGCTGCAAGGGGAGGCCATGGTGCAGCTGCTGGACAGCATGTCCCCTCATACTGGTATTACTGGGGGGTGGGTGCGGGGTGAAGGGGGGCACCCCTCATTCCATTCCCTTTTAGGCAGAGCAATGGGGCTTCAATGCCTGCTTCTATTGGGGTCTCCTAATAGCTTCCTGCTTAAAGGCTTGGTGGCCATGGGGGTGCCACTGCTGGCCCTGGGGCACCCCAACCCCTTGTTGCTGCAGATAAGGCTGGAGCAGCACCCGCAATGGGCAGGGTGAACAAGGCCTGCAGGGCTGGGCTGGCTGATAGGGATAGCAGGCAGGGCCCAGCAGGAGATAGGGCAGCTCCAAGGGGGTTCCTCCTGCTGGCCAATGGGGATGGATCCCATGGGCCCCAGTGTGGGATACTGGGGAGCGGTTCCTCACTATGGGAATGGGTTGGGTGCAATGGGGCGGGCTTCAAGCTCCCTTCAACCCAAAGCAGCGCAGGGGAAGGGGCTGCTCCCCATGCACCTGCAATGGGGCCCTGCAGCCTGGGGGCAGGGGAGAGGGGCCCAGAAGGGGTTGGGGCCCACCCTGCCCTATGCAGATAAAGCCTGGGGGCTGGTATCAGCCCTTGCTCTGGTGCGTGCTGGCCCACCCAGCCCCTGCTCCCGATAAGGCCCTGGAGGCCTCCCCTGAATGGGTGCTGTGGATAAGGCTCAGAGCACGGGGCTGCTGCCCCCAATAGGGGTTCCCATAGGGCAGTGGCTTGGGAAGGGCCCTCAAACTCATCCAGCATCCAACATTGCACCCCGATAGGCACCCCCCCAGCACCCCCAGCCCTGCTCCATAGGGCCTTATGGTGACCCCCCCTTCCCCTTGCTGTGCTTTGCCTGCAGCACCCCACAAGTACTACATCGGGTTCCGCTATGTGCACCCCCTGACAGAGGAAGCCATTGAGGAGATGGAGGAGGATGGCATTGAGAGGGCTGTGGCCTTCACCCAGTACCCCCAGTACAGCTGCTCCACCACAGGTGGGTGTCCCTGCTGGATACCCTAATGGCGAGGGTTTGGAAGTGGGGTGAGCCTGAAGGCCCCTTCCATCCCATCCCATCCATCCCATCCCATCCATCCCATCCCATCCCATTCCATCCCATCCATCCCATCCCATCCCATCCCATCCATCCCATCCCATCCCATCCCATCCATCCCATCCCATCCAATCCCCAACCCATCCAATCCCCACCCCATTCATCCCATCCCATCCATCCCATCCCATCCCATCCCATCCCATCCCATCCCATCCATCCCATCCATCCCATCCCATCCATCCCATCCATCCCATCCATCCATCCCATCCATCCCATCCCATCCCATCCCATCCATCCCATCCCATCCATCCCATCCCATCCATCCATCCCATCCCATCCCATCCCATCCCATCCATCCCATCCCATCCCATCCCATCCCATCCCATCCATCCCATCCCATCCCATCCCATCCATCCCATCCCATTCATCCCATCCCATCCCATCCATCCCATCCCATCCCACCCCAGTCCTGCTTTACAGCCCCAGCATCGCCGTGCCCCCTC